GCTGCAGTTTCTGGAACACTAAGTCAGCGCTCAGGTTCACTGCGGAAAGTCCCGTGAAGTTGCATATGAAGCTGTCATCAGTATGGTTGATGTGGGTCGGTTGAAATGTCCGAGAGTATTGTTCAGCCAGAAGGTTAGTGGTGTCGCCATCGCTATCGGGCGGGCCATTAGGACCTAGCAGTTGGGAAACTCCAGTTTTGTCTTGACGAAGAGAGGCTGCATAACGGCGTTAGCTTTTCGGATCGGAGACAAGTTTATCCATAAGCTTTATCTGGTACTGAAGCCTATCTTCTCTTATAGCCTTCGTGCATATGTTCCATATATGTTTGTATTGCCTGTATGTGCCGTTGCTGTCAGTTCGTTTGTATTCTGCCCAACAGCGCCTTTTGCGGCTTAGCAGGCTAAGAGTGCGGCTCTTGATGATTGTAGGTTGCTTGTAGCTTTTGGGGACTGTCTGAGGAACTGACTGCTTTGTAGCACATGAGAGCGTGTGCGGTAAGAAGTCCCAATGAGTATCCACACGGATTTGAGGGTGAACATCCCAATCCACCTCTTGTAGAGAATCTCATGGAGCTGACACATTCGACCGTTTGAAATTCCAGCGCATATTGTTAGTGGGGTATTTTAGCTCAGTTTCGCTGACAAAGCTGAAGGATATAACGGAACGATCGCTTTTCCTCAGGAGATCCAGGATTGTGAGGTTGTCAACTAGAAATTCTTCGTTTGTAAACACAGTCTAAGAGCGACGATATCTGACTGTTTCTCCAACGAGTTGCCGACTTCACAATTTCGTATCATCTCATATCCTCAATGAGGTTGGCGAACCGAGCTTCAGTTCAGTTTTCACCCCCAATATACGTATGTTCCGCGAAATTCACTCTAGGGAGATTGAAGTCCCCTGGAATCAGGATATGAGTGAATCCGAGACGCGTAGGGCGGGATAGTCCTTCCAGCATATGACTGTCATACTCGATGTCAGCAGTGGGCTTCTCATATATGACTCCGATTAGGCATCCCAAAGCAGTAGACAATCTTACAAAGTACCATACAGATTCGTCAAGATTGTTAAACCCATGGTTGTGAACCTGTTTTACCTCCAAGCAGGATCGTATGCATACGGCTACTCCACTCCCAATTCCAGTTTTTCTGTCGTTGCGAAACAAAGACATCCCAGTTATTGCTAGCTCCTGGTCCGTAAACTGAGAAGATATCCAAATTTCAGATATTCCTGTCAAATGAACCTTATTAGCATTGCTAAGGCAACGTAGCTTGTCCATTTTGTTTGGTAGACTCGCTGCGTTCATGTATAAGCAGTTTATGTTTTCAATTTGAAACGCGTGAGCTTCTTCCTGTTTGTCTGTATGAGCCTTACGTGAATGGACAAGTAGCCTATCTATATAAGGTTTGCCGAGTTGGAAGGCTCTGTTCTTTACATGTTTTTTATGATTGAGACAGTCCACAAGTGTAATGGTCAGCTCCAACTTGCCTTTGTGCTTGATCCTGGCACCATTTGACCTATTCGGGTGCAGATGGAACCCAGTTGGCAACCGACGTCTGTTGGTACAAAATGCTTTCAGAGTTGCAGCCGCCATATGGGAAAGTAATCCTCATTAGCCGGGGTCTAGAATCACCGTCCTTCTTGGCTGGTCTCGTCACATGTTGAGTCAGTATGTTTTGGAGCCTCAAGAACTGCTTGATGAGTTTCTATTCCCTGATATCAGAATTTGCTTGACTAGGATCCGTGTTTTCCATTACATCTTGCACAATTATGTTTCTTCCGCGGAAAAACTTCTCGCGAGAATCCTTAGGGATGTTCCGGATGAGATTGCGCTCAGGCTACGGTATGTCGGACGGTATTCCTACGTTTCCATCGGATTTAAATAAATAGCTAGCTGGCAGGACATCCTCTACGTCGGTAGCATTCTTAAGTGTTACACGAAGTAGCATTGAGTGATTTTGATGCTTAGATTTCTTTCCTTGAGTGAGCCGTGTGACCGTCAAAGGCTCTATTCTTGGAAGTTCAATCTTCTAGTTTAATTCTCCCCAGAGCATTCTGTCATTTCTGACCTGCAAACTGAGAGGAAGGTCAGGGTTGTCTTTGAGGTTTAGTTTTATGAGAGAGTCATCACCAACCGTTATTGTTTTCCTGGGTCTTCCAGGGAGTTCGGGTTCAGCATCTTGTTGTATGGTGGTCGAGGCGCGTTTCTTAATACTAGGCTCTTTGATGACCGGATGGACATTCTCGAGGTAGACTGTGCGAGCAACTCACCAGATGATTTCCGGACAACACTTGGGATGTTCAGCTTAGATGGTGACGCCTGGTCCTCTTTGGCTCTGTTAACGTGGGTCCAACCATCTACAGACTTTATGGAAATCACTGCTGCATTCAAGGACCCTGGGCTGGGAGACCCCAGCTTGCTCAGGAATTCTATTACCGCCAGAGTAGTGGTGGTGCTGAGTTTCATCATGTCATTACTAGTGCTAATGCGTGCTCCATCGATAGTAGACCTGTCGACATCCCTATTCTTGTTTCCGTTGCACGCCCTTGTTTGTCTACCCATTTTATGACTGTCTTTTTCCAAGTTTGCTGGCAACTTATTCCGCAGACCTGTCAATAGGACAATGATGTCACTCAGGAAAACTACAGCATCCGTGTTGCACGTAACACATACCCACTTATGACCTGACTTGCTGAGTCTGTTGTAAGCAGTTGCTGTGAGATCTGTGTACGCTTTATGTAACCAACCTTTGCAGTTGTCGCACTGCATGCCAGATGTAACAGCAAAACGGCATTCAGGTCGTTTGCATGAATTTTTCAAGACAGTATTGACGTGAGCTGTATTATAGGTGCTAGCAAAAGCCGAAGACCGTTCAAAAGTACTCTAAAAAGCGCACTAACGACGGGCAAAAATGGATAAAAACGGATGAGAAAAACTGAACAAGCCTTTACGTGAAAAACTGGAAAAAAAACCGAGTAGTAAGCTGAAGCGAAACCACAATTTATTATTAAATTGGGTGAAACTCGAAAAAAGTAATCTACCAAATGTATAGCTCAGAATAGATTCTTTAGATCAGAAATGGTACTTCTGTTGCGTAAGAACACAACAAAAGTATGAGAAGTGCAAATCTCTTTAGGACTAAGCTTTCCTTTTTAAAAGCGCGCGAATAAATTCCAGAAGCGTAAAGGAGGGAAGTAGCTGTTGTGTTGTCGCGAGTGAGCACATGTCAGCCCAACCCAGACCTAACGTCTGAAAAGGAAATATAAAAGATATCATACACTCTGAATCCCCAGTAGGTTGGACAATAGAGATAAAATCCCCAACTGAAAGAGCTTGGGATGTTTTTGGAACTTTGTACTTTAAGGTCACTGCACACCGCATCCCTCGGACCAAACCAAAGGGTCCGAGAAACTCCCCACCATGGTTCAGGACGGCCCTGTCTTCAAAATAGGTACGAAGCATAAACATGAGAACTACCGACCTGTTAGCCTGATGAGAGTGGTTGTTAAAATTTTAGAAAAGATTATTCGGAAGTTACCTATAAACGTAGGCTACGATGACTTCAGCACATCTTTTCACAAAGTTCCTCACAACCGGCTGCTATAAAAGTTAGGAAATATCAGGATTAGAGGCAACCTCTTGATGTGGATAGAAGACTTCCTAGTTGGGCGCCAACCAAGAGTACGGGTGAATCCCAAGTTGTCCAGCTGAGAAACTATGCTTGGCGGAGTGCCTCAGGGTAAAGTTTTGGAGCCAGTGTTATTCTTCTTATATGCAAATGACTTTCCTCGTTCCCTCTCATCATTGGTTCTGCTATACGCTGACGATGTCAAGATATGGAGAGCTATAAGAATTAAAGCTAATAGCTTAGAACTTCAAAATGACCTGGGGAAGTTATCTGAATGGTCTCAAAGTTGGCAGTTGCCGAAAAATGCTTCTAAGTGTATCGTGATGCATACTGATGATCAAGATGTAGCGGTAAATAAATCCCCAAAATAAATAGCTCTAAGTTTTCGACACTGGATGCTGACCATATGTTTTAGTGGACTCATCTAGCTGAAGGCGCTCGGTCATGCATCCGCACCAGATCACGTGTGGTAACGCCGTGCTCAACATCAACCGCAATCGCTAGCCAGATTAGATTAGAGAATTCCGATATTTTGGTTATCGCCAAATACACTCTTCCGATCTCCTCGACTCTGTCTTTTGATTTCTCTGGGTGGGAACGAAATATATTAGGTGTTACTGGTAGAAGCGTTGTCAAACACTGAATACCTGTGACATCCTCACATACATGGGAAATAATAGTGAGCTACCTGTTGTTGACATAGGAGTCGTCGTTAGCCAAGAGCTAAACATTATCGCACACTGCCGTGCAATAGCCACAAAGGTTTTGGAACCCTATGATCAATACGTAAAGCCCTTATCCATGTTGACGCTTAAGCTTTTCTGACGTTCTGTGCAGTGTTCGAGCTCCTAAGCTCGAGTACTGCATACAAACGGCTAGCCCCTGCTCAAAAAGGGCAGAGAACTTTCGAAGAAGGTTCAGAGAGCCGCAGCTAAGCTGATTCCAGGAATAGCAAAGCTCCTGCATGATAACAGCTTGACTAAACTAAACCTATTCCTAATGACATACTGAAGAACCAGAGGGAACTTGATCACAGATTTCGAATTACTTAGTGATAAATTCGCGTCCGGCGTGCCCTCATTTCTCTCGTCTTCCAAATTTGAGAGTTTACTAGGGCACTCTTGAAAAGTTCACAAGCCCAGGACAAGTTACATGTCAGCTGACTATCGATTATCCCACGAATCATCAACGAGTGGAACTCATTAAATCAGCACGTCGTTGAGACTTCATCCGTCGACTCTCCAAAAAATGTTGAATCACCTGAGAGACCACCATTGTCAGGATCAACACAAGCTACCTGGGCACTTGTCTTTTGCAAACTGAAGCTAAATTTGTGTATATTGAACGCAATACTGTAATGGCAACATTACGACATGTTCGGTACCCAGATAATTAATTGTCCCTCCTCACGTTTCATTCCAAAGTTTAGAAAACTTAAAAGGAACAATAATCTGTTAACGACTCACTCTTTTTTATTCTTAGTTACCTCATATATTTTTATTTTCTTTATACTAAGAAATATGACAATTTAACATTATCATCCCGCTGAGCTAACACGAAAATTACTCACAAAAAGGTGTTGTGTGACCTGCCTCATGCAGTTGTCCCTTGGACACTGCGGGCAAGCTCTCAGGTCACTAAGACCAACTCTAACCCAATCTCCTCCCCAGGTACCTCCAGAAGAACCCTTCCACGGTGTGTGCAACCGGGAAGTAAAAACCGCCCTCATACCTCTGACAGCACTCAAGACCACTGTATTCATAATCAATCTTCCTCTTCTGTTCCTATTATTCCTCCTACTTCGACTTTGAACTCTGAACTTCCTCCTCAAGTGTCACCATAGCCAACGATTCTAGTGCGCAAAATACTCTCTCAACTCTACTGAAACCTGGCTCCAAACCACACATTAGGGCCTTCAATGTACTTACTCTGTGTCAAATCGGCCAGCAGGTCTCCTTGTCTAAGAGCCCAGGATCTCGTACGATTGATTTATTGTGTGTCTCCAAAATACGTATACAGGATGCTAATGTGGTCATTGACTTGACCTCACCTCGCCAAAACAGAGAGCCTACCAGATTCACCCTCCGTCTATCTGGCGACCAGATGGCTAGTTCTCATCGACTTGCGTGTAGGCATAGCACTAAGTATGAAGGCAGAAGAGGCACTGTTAGAATAGATCGGCGTTAACAGTCGCCTATATGCTGTTCGGCTAAACGGCTCCGTAAGAACTCGGAGGCATAGGGGCACGTGGCGTTGCGTTTTCTCCAGTTCTGCCTACGCTCCCACTAACTGTAGCCCGAGCAAAGTGAAGGATGGAGTTTACAGAGAGCTTCCCGAAGTTCTTCAAAAATCTAAACACACAGACATAGTACTCGTAGTAGGTGACTTTAATGCCGAAGTAGGTAGATTAAACCAGATGGAAAGACATTTAGGTGGGTAGTTTTGTATTCTGGCTCAGCGAACAGATAATGGTGACTGTCCACTGCAACTGTGCTCAGACGATCGTTTATTTTTAACAAGCACCAATTTTAAGCATGAGGAGAGGCATCGTCTAACATGGCGACCCCCTTCACCAAACTAACAATGGACTAAAATAGACCATATTGCCAACAGTCATCGTTGCAGAGGCTCAATAGAAGACTATCGCTCATTCTGGAGTACTTGTTTAGACTTTGATCATGCTGTAATGCGAGCACGAATTTGCTTGCGTCTACCTGGGCTCAGAAAAGCCAGATTAAGAAAACGCACTAGAGTTGAACTCAGTGACGAGAAAACCAAAAGTAGATTTGAGGGACAACTGAGGTGACACCTAGGTAGTTCTGAAAACGAGGCTGACCCAGATGTTGCTTAGAAAGATATACGAACAGTTGTGAAAACAGCAGTGACATCTGTTAGTGACTTGAACTCAAGTGGTTAAGAAGAGCTAGTGGATTTCTGTAACATGTATTACACTGATAGACTCTCGTAAACTCATCCCATCAGGCTCCGAACACGATGAAGAACGAAAAGAAACCAGATCTTGGTTAACTAAAAGTCCGTGCGCAATGGAGGCTAACGAAAGCGCAAGAGATGGAAAAGGCAGCAGTTATAGGTAAAACTAGACAGCTCTTCAAAAGAATAAAAGAAACCGGAATTAAGAAGTCAAATGTGAGACGATCTCGGAGAAAGACGACACTCTTATTTGCTCTCAGCCCAGACGTTTAGAACGATGAGCGGAACACTTCAAGGTGCAGTTCAACTGGCCTTCAGCTACTATACAACTACCCACCATTCCCAAACAGCCTGAATGGAACATTGAAGTAAGTCTCCCGACTCTAGCTGAAGTTCCAAAGGCTACAGCTAATCTGGAATGAGGAAGGGAAGCTGGTTCAGATGGATTGGCTCCAGAGGTCTTTAAGGATGGTTGTCCAATTTCAGCGATTAGATTGACCAATATTTTAGCTCAAATCTGGTGGTTGGACGCAATCCTATCTGACTGATCACAATCACTTATTGTCCCAATGCGTAAGAAGGAGTCAAAATCATCCTGTGATAACCATGGTGGGATTATTTTGTCCAATATAGCATCTAAAATACTAACCTCAATAATTATCGGACGCTTAATAACGACTCGTGAACTGCAAACACGGGAAAATCAGGCTAGCTTCAGACCTGGTCATGGCTGTATTAACCACATATTCGCCGTTATTCAGATCTTAGAACACAAGTATGCTTACCGGCGTCTGACAATTGTGGTCTTTCTTAACTTAAAATCAACATTTGACTCTGTAGACCGAGAGGTTCTGTAGCAGTGTCCGTCATTTTAAGGTGTATCTTAAAAGTACATAAGCCTTGTGAAGGCTCTCTACTGGAACACTACTAGTCGAGTCAGAGCTTATGGCGACTTGTCTTTTGAATTTGGTAGTACACAGATGGTCCTCTGTATTGCATTGCTACTCATTTTTCTCGCAACCAAAAAGTTTCTAAAGTACTACTTATGTTCTGGTGTTTATAAGGGATTTATTTCAATGTGACTATGGAGTGTAGAACTTTAACAAATATCTCAATAGGGCTGGTGAAAGTGAGTTTTTAGACACTGATGAGTCATCTACAAAAATAGTAAGGTATTACTGGAATCACGTAAAAACTGGCCAAGTGTTGGGAACATGAACCTGTATTTTATTAGCTATTTATACTAAAGATGTCCACAATAATTGAAAACAGTATGCATTGCAATCCATCAAGGTGCACTGATTGATAAGCCTCCAAGTTACAACGTTCTTAACCACTGTATACTTCATTGTGATGTTTTTTTATATTCTTAAGTATTTCTTATCAAGTACTAACTTTGTAAATTAAGGTTTTGACTTTACAAAACTCTAGGTCTCAGGTCTCTATGGAAAGAAAGTAAGGAATGAGATGTTCCGTCTGATACGTTGTCCTCTGACTACTAAAAGAATATCATTTTTCAGTAAAATTTTCGTTTAAATGTCTCACATCTCTTAGATAGTGTTATTTCATTTGCAATGGGACGTCCACTTACTACGGACACAATAGATTTAACACCATTTCCTGAGTTATATACTAAAGAGAACATCATTTTACATAAAATTTTCAACAAGTATGGGTTTGATCTACGTATCGCCGGAGGCGCAGTACGTGATATTTTACTAGGAATTTCTCCACATGACATTGACTTCGCAACAAACGCTACTCCACCTCAGATGTGTGAAATGTTTTCCAAGGAAGGAATTCGAATGCTGAATAGAAATGGAGAATCACATGGAACTGTTACAGCCAGAATTAATGATAAGGTATAGTTATATTCACATGAAATGTTTATTTAACGTATTTTCACTTGTCTTACCTATAAATAGCTTTAGTATGACTTGACATATTTTGTAGGTACAAAAGTTCTCCATTAATATTTTGTTTTGTAACTAGGTGATACAACTTTAGTCTTTCATTTTCTGCCTGGACATCATTATCTCTCATACCTATCACCATATATGTTTATTACTAAGTAACCAGAAGTTTAGGCTTGTTGGTTAAAGGATTTGACTCCCACAATTAAGATATATATTAGGACCTTGATCTGTCTACTTCGGTTTGGGCACCCGAGTTATTTAATGAGTCTTCATACAAAGCGTATGTGGTTCAAAGCCTAGTACATAAACAGTTGCTTGATGGAGGAGCTACATCAGATTGAAATTTGATCTAAAGAAACATTTGGATGGTTCCCCAGTCCTCTGTAAAGGGATCTGGGATCGCAATAATACTTATAAATACTATTGATGGTAGTTATAAACGTTTGTCACTTCCTGGCGAATTTGAATGGCTCATAGATAAGTTTAACAGAAGCTTGATATTAACATGGTTGTCATTCTTGCTTTCATCACTGATGTCACCAGTCAGCTTATCCTAAATTACTAAAGGCTAAATCCAATGTAACCACAGTTAAGAAATGTAGGTTCCTGATACACACAGAGCAGCGCATTTCAACACAGTTAAAAATACAGAATTTCTTAGACGACTAGCGAATAAAAACGTCATAGTTACTGTCAACTACATTTCATTTCTTATTGATCTAACCACAGCCTAAATAAGTTATCTTCGGATGCTAGTACATGCAACTGTATGTAGTTACTGAGTTGCATTGAAAAATATTTTTGGGTACATAAATAAGATAAAGTACCTATATATTGGTCTTAGTCGTTAATAGTTCCAGGTTATGAGACATAACACCCATCTTTTGGTTAAGTTAAATCCAGTACATTATCCGGCTTATTTTTTGAAAGTCGTGGGTCCGTAATAAACTCAAACGTATAGAAGTTTACTAAGAAGGTTCCAAGTCTAGAAGCAGTTTTACCAGTCAGATATTTGATGGTCAAATGCCTATCTGTTCATGCTTCTCAACTTTGTTAAATATCAAATATTCTAGCTACAGTATGTCCTTATCATAAATACGTACAGCTCTAAATTTGTTTGAGTTGTCATAGGTTAGTAAATTTACACAACAATGCCACTAAATTCTCATTTAAGCAGTACTTCTTTTTATAAAGATCGATATTCGGTTGGTATGTAATGTAACTGAATAAAAGGTATGTTGCAATGAACTTTGTTTGATATTCTGTTTTCAAAATTAACCATCAGAGAACTCTTAAATGAAGCTTAACTTTACATACACCACAATATTCTTGTAATTCTCAGACTGAATTAAACATTCTTGCTGTCATAACTAATAATTTGTTAAACTAATTGCTTTTCATCTGTATCCATGGTGTACCACCCTTGTAAGTCACACTGTATAGTAGGATACGGAGCTTTTTTTTTACATCGATGCCTTAAATATGGGTTTTTGGTCAGTTAACTAGTAGTAACCAACATTAGGACCTGACATAAATGCCCATCCACCCAAGTTACCACACCATATCACAAGGAGATGAAATCACTGAGGAATCGGAATGATTGAAAAAGACTAAACAGTGAATACATTATACATTTCGGTCGAAGTAATATTGTCAACAAAATTTATGAAATGGATAAATATTCTAGCTGAGCATATGAACCTATATCTATTTCTACAAATTTAGATGAAATTAAGTTAAAATAAATGTTTTCTTTTTCCAGGAAAATTTTGAAGTTACCACTCTACGTATTGACGTTGTCACAGATGGAAGGCATAGTGAAGTTGTCTTTACAAATGACTGGAAGTTAGATGCTGAAAGAAGAGATCTTACAGTGAATTCGATGTTTCTAGGTGTTGATATGCAGGGGTTATTTGATGAGGCTAATGAAGCAACAACAGATTCTTCCGCAAATGAAAATAATACAAGTAATAAACAAAAAGTGTTAGGACATTTATGGGATTATTTTAACGGTTGCGATGACTTGAAAAATCATCGCATACGATTTGTAGGGGATCCAGATGCTAGGATAAAAGAGGATTACTTAAGAATGCTAAGATATTTCCGATTTCATGGTCGTCTGTCAACAGAAGACACATATGATAGGCATGATGAAGATGTGTTGAAGGTACGGACCACTTTTTCGAGTGAATATTTGTAACATTTCAGTTTTTTAGTGGCATCGTTTAACAACTTTCCGTTTTCTTTCTGGTAGGGATTATTCATTTCGTTTTTAAATATGAGTTTAATAACTTTGGTAACATACTTATATTCCCTTAGTATATGTACTGTTTATGAGTTATCAAAGTATTTTTACTTGGGAAAGTTCAGAGTTATACTGAACACTATAAAGTATGTTATCTGTCATCTGGGTTTTGTCAGAGTATCAAAATGTCAGATATGGAACAGCTTTATTGATATTTGGTTTTTAATAAGTCACTAAATTAGGGTCAGTACATGTTTTGAATTAACGGTAGAGTATTCATTCTCTACGTCTACCCTGATTTCCATAGTTGCCATCTCATTCTCATTAGAAATTTAAGAAATTAAATCCGAGAATTTTTCATGCGTCTAGTTCTCTTTGTAGCTTTGAACGAAGTAATGACAATAAACGGCTTGTATAATATGATTAATTCATTCTATTTCAACGTTCCCCACTAATTGTGACCAGCATGAATTTACAGATAACAGGATTAACAACAAAATTTGATAAATTTTAGTTGAAGCTGTGACAAAGGTACGCGATACAAACTCCCCAAAAAATAGATGGATGAGAGTATTCTTAATACTACTCATATTGGCGTTTCAGAAATACCTCATTTTTTTTGTTCTCTAAATGACTATTCAGCTGTTAAGTGAAAAAAGTGGGGCAATATTAAATGTACAATTTTAACGTCAAGCTTTTCCAACCATTTATTTTAGATTATGAATATTAAATATCCCAAGCAATTTACAGATGTACTGTGGACCCCTTTCCTTAGGAACTAGCAGTAATAGTAATAGTCTAACATTGAAGACGTCTTATTGAAAAAAAAGAAACTCTACATATAACACTAAGATGGATTCAACTGCGTCGAAAGTGCTAGAAGTTGCGAAATAATCTGTTAGTCCCATTCACCTGAAGATGGATATTAAACAGGGACTGTGTTCAAAAAGACATCAATATCTAGCATTTAACCAACAACTTGTTGAACGTGTCATGCGACTTTAATACAGAGAATAGTAAATTTGGATCGTTAGTGGTGACTATTATGCTGCCAGTAATCCAAGTCCCTGATTTTTTGGGAACAACAATTAACATGTAAACTATTATTAGCCGCTCCAAAATGACTTAAAGATAGTGTCTGTCAACAGCTAGTGTACTGACTACATTTCTATTTTTGCTCAATGAACGGAGCATTTGAGTCGGGAAGATAAGTTAGTGTGATAAGCATGCTATGTATTTTGTGTTCGTTTAGACATCATGTTAGAAGACTTCTCGTTTGAACTGGTTTTAAGACGTGAGTTGTAGCCTCTATGATAGATATTATTCTACAAGGCAACTTAATCATGTTTCATTAGTATAGAATCAAACTTTCTTTTTTATTCTGTTTCTGGAATAATGTTCCAAATGGATTCAATTTTCGACAATACTGGTGGGATTTTTAACGAATAATAACATTTTCCAATATGTGATTTTTTATAGTTCATATGCTTGTATGCTTGTTACAACTATTGAGTTTTGAGTTTTTTAAATCACAATATTGTTTATTAATAATAATAGACTATAGCCTCAAATGCTAATGGTTTGTCAATAATATCTGGTGAACGCTGTTTCAGTGAATTGAAGAAAATTCTATTATATCCTTCAACTCCATTCCTTTTACGTCGGATGGCAGATGCTGGGCTATTTGTTCACTTAGGTCTTCCTGAAAACCCTAACTTTAAAGAATTAGATAAAATCTGGAATAGAGGTATACTTTCTTCTGCACCAAACCCGATTACTTGTTTAGCTGCAATTATGACATCGCCTGTTGAAGTAAGTTCAGTCATTTTTGAAACAAAGAAACAATTTCATTTGTTATCACAATTCGATTCGTTCAAACTTTGGGCTAAAATTCATTACAATTTCGATTCAAAGCCGCTCTGTTACAACATCTAAAATTAATGGTCGAAAGTATAGTTGGAATCCATCCTAAAATCTCTAGGATTTTGCCAACTTGCATCATCTGTAGTGTAGGTGAGGTGTCGATCTCGCAAGCAAAGCGGCGGTATACTACTCAGTGGTTTACTCTGCTCTATTTTATTTCTGTAAAACACAGTCTTTGATGGTAAAAGATATGCTTAAACTTCAGGTTTTTTATTTAAAGCATTGTTCACGTATCTTGGATCAAATTGGTGAACAATAGCGAGTTCGCACTCAGAGTACAAGAAGGTAAATCTGTTGGTCATGCTAGGAATCTGCAGCGATTGAGGTAACTAGGATACGTGTCACACATTCCTAACCACCATCTACCTCAATGGGCAATGTTAGCTGGAGTAGGAGTAAGTTGGAAGGAAGCTAATGGCAGTTAAACCAATATGCTGCATCAGTTCATAAAGTTATTGACAACTGGACTGAATCATGTCGATATATATGGTTGAGGTTTGTGCGGTTACTGTGACCACAGGTTCGGAGACATTAAATGATGTGGTTTAGAATCGATGTCAGTGGTGCATGTCCATTCAGTTTTTGTATTTCCATAGATCTTAAGTTTCAAGGTAGTTTTATATGTTTCCTTCCACAGATTTATTCTTTAATTATCTTGTCTGTGCTTAATGTTTTCTCCTACCACTGATACTGCTAATACTTCTACTACTCTGGTGTTTTTTCTTAATAATTTTATCTCACTGTGGTGATGAGGTGTAGCAACTTAAACCGATGTACCACATGTACTATATTCAACGTTACCTATGATTGACTAGCTGGCTAACTCATAACAGCTTTCCTCACCTCTGAGCAATTTACTTCTCACTTCTAAGGATTCCATTGGTTAATAAAGTAAACCCACCATCTTATGTGTAGGTGAGGAGACATTGTCATGTATATTTTGTTTTTATTTACTACCTAATTTAGAGTCATTTAATCCTTTTTGTTTTTTATTATAATTTTCACTAAGATCATAATACTTATGTTTGTTTATTTTTTGATTTTATTTCATTTTTGTCCCATTTCACTGTTATTTGCTTCCAGGTTGAGAACTTAGACAAACGTTTACGTTTATCTAATCTAGATTTAACAATTCTATTGTACATATTACATAAACGCGATTATTATTTTAATTTATCTAATGAAAATGATAAAAATGAAATGAAATTTTATCAAAAAGAATATTTATTATCATTTGAACCGAATAAAATAAAACCAGCTATAACTGAATTGTTAAAATATTTAGGCAAAGATAAATTATTTATTGATGAGTGGTTATCATGGCAACCACCAAAGTTTCCAGTCAGTGGTACATTAATTATTGATCAATGGGATATACGTAATAAATTAATTCGACCAGTTTTATTTAAACTACGTGAACAGTGGTGTGAATCAGATTATAAATTATCAAGCGATGAATTATTAACTGAAAGTAATAAACAATTTATATTGGATCATTTAAATAGTAATTCTGTTGATTGTATACCTGAAAGATTTATAATTCAAGCTAAAAAATCACGAAGATGACAATATTGACTTGTTTATTTTTTTGTAGTATGTATATGTATTTACATAAATATATATGAAGTGTTATTGTTGCTACTCATGAAAGAGAAAGTGTGTGTGTGTGTGTGTGTGGGAGAGAGAAAAAGGGATTATCAGACTGTGTTCCTGTTAATTAAAATACAGATAATTTATTGAGTATATTGAATATCACTCTGGAATACAAGTATGTTGATAGTGATAATAATTTTTATAATTTCAATTTATGAGATGATTTTAGATTGTTTTGGTGAACGAAATACTACTTTGTATAGTACTATACTAGTCAGTCAGTTACAAGCAAAGTAGAACGTCACACAAGTATATGTTAGCTCAAGTTTACTACATCACATAAAAACAACAAGATGCAACTATCAATGTGAATATCAAAGTAGTGGTAGTGTTATTGATAGTTCCTTGATGATCTCCGCAAAGATTGTAGTCTCTATTTTTTGTTCTCGAGGTTTTTCACTGATATATTCTACAAATGTACTATGAACGTAAACTTCAAATTCAATGGTGAAATATATAGACAAATAGATGGTGTAGCGATGGGTTCACCACTAGGTCCCATATTGTCTGACATTTTTCTCGCTAAACTAGAAAATGGTTCACTTGTGCAGTAGGTTGACAAGTTTTCATCTTACTGCTGGTATATGGAGGATATGTTCGTCCTTTGTAACGACCATACTGACCTGATGAAAATACTCAAGTGATTTAAGGAAGTTCATCCGTCTATAAAATTCACATGTATGGACGGGAATAGAGATAGAATATTCTTTCCAGATGTTCTGCTTACAAGGGGAATAGATGATTCACTAAGAAATTTAAACAAGAAAACTACTTGAACTGACCTTTATGAAAATTTTCCTATTTTTGTTCTTCTACAATATAAAACGAAACTGATTGAGACATTTCACTATAGACCAAGACCATATGCTCCCTAGATGCAATTAAAAAGGAAAAAAAGATATTGCCTACTACCCTGAAAGAAGATAGATATACGGAGAATTTTATAAATAAACATTTAACCAAGAAAGGAGAGTATAAGGAAGGCCTAACTGTGATCAAAAAGCCTCTGTTTATGTGTTTACAATTAGGAGGTGGTGCACCCGGTGAAATGCTAATACTATAGTGGCGCAGAGCAATTTAAAGAACTTTTAATGCAGGTAATGTACAACTATTTTTTTCTACACATCCGATGAACACTTCGATATTGGAAGAGAAATTACCTAGACTATTCACTTCTTTCTGTATCTATCAATTCTACTGCTCTTGTGGAGCAAGTTATGTTGACAGGTGTTTTAGGAATTTGTATTTTCGAGCTTGCGAGCACCTCTCGATGTGGTTAAGCAAAGGTATAGTTGAAACTGTTAACAGTTCGATTTTAGCTCAATCAAAACAGATTCAGTTATACAATGGTTCAGTAAACATATGAAATTGGATCTAACTATTATAAGTACTAGGAATTTACAATTACAGTGATTGATAATCTGAATATTACAAATTTATGTAAATATTTTGAAATGCTACACTGTATTCTGAAATGAGGGGAAATAAAATTGGTTACTGAGCAATATTAAGTAGTATAATTAACATACTGAAGGTAATCGAATCAGAGAGAAATGAGGATTAGTGTTAGCAGAAACAGCAATATAATCGTTTAAGTCTGTTCAATTCATGTACGTGTGTAAACGTCAGTAATTAGTCACCAAAATAATTATAAATAGCATACTTGATGTGCGAACGATAATGTAACCTTAAACTAGTTCGGACAAGAAGAAAAAGATTGATTTGATCAAAATGACACCTCTATTAATACATATTTTGAATTCCATTGTATGGAACTTAGTTCGAATGTTTTAAAATTTAATACAAAACGTGAGAAAATATTTCCTAAGCGTACTCGTTTTCTAAAGGTTTGTTTATCCATTAGTTTAGTCCTTCTTTAATGTTACAAACTAGGGCGATATCAGATAGTCTTTAATCATATAATAATTCTACTACAAATTATTCAATCCTAGATGACGTGGGTAAATTTTCCACCTAGTATTAAACTTGTTTAGAGGACCTGTAGTGCTATGTTAAGCCCATATAGCTTATTCTAGTTTCCGGACAGGCCAGTCTATTCATTCTTCTTGAGTCAAGTTGGGACCCTGTTAATTATTAGCTTATCAACTTTGACTGTTTTTATGTAAGCATATGTGGGTGCATTTCTTATCTTACTCATTACATGTCCGTAACATATTTTTGTCTGACTAGAAATATTGACTCACTATGGATTAAATTGAGTTGGATCACACGCCTTCACCCCACGTCGTTTCGCTTCGTTCTCTTCTCCTCACTTCGTCCCTCTGATTGTTTATGCAGATCAATATGTGTACAAAATATACGTATTCAAAAATCCATTTTCGTATTTGTTTTATTTAATTCCGTTATTCGTTAACGCGATTTAAGTCGATTATTACATACGAGAATAGTCAGAATGTATATTTCAACATCAATCGTTCGATAACTATTATTTGTCCGATCTTACTGGATTCAGATATCGGGTCACAAAAGGCCCGATGTTATGGATAACCCTCACATGAAGTGTTGTTGAAGAGCGGATAAACGAATCTGTAATCGATGGTTTGTATCGAAGTTTATCCCTCAAAGTTTATTAAAAGATAAACACTTATTTCATTTAAATACTAAGGTGTATAAATCATTCTCTTTTCCAGTGAATGACTTATAGAGCACTGCATATACTTAATTATTTTGGTGCATTTAAATTCTCTGAGTCAAATATTCTAAACATGAAGCTTTAATTACATTTTAGGTCTATATCATTAGTAATTCAAAAAAGGAATGAGCTAGTAGAACTACGTTACACGTGGTTAACACATTTAATTTAATTGCATGTTACGGAGTTCGAGGAGTTTATCTTAACTGGAATTATCTTTTAAGCTGCAAATTTCTACTGTCTCAAAAGTTCACATCGCTATAACTGTGTATAATAAAAGTAATTCATTTGATATTCATACAAACTACTTGACGTTAGATATTCTCTTCGTATAAATTTATGTAGATAAAAACATTATTCAATCAAATTTCCCAAAAACTAAGTGAGTTAAATTAATCTTTTATCCATAAGATAAAACCCGACAGTCATTGAAAGATAACTTCTATTAGTTTAACGGTGATTATCAATTAGTATTTCTCCATTGACTTTCGTTTATCATTTAGGCAGACTGAAAACTAAAGTCACTATTTTGTTATAGCATATCAATACTACATTTTATGACAAATATTAAATAGTATACAACTTAATAAAAGCTGTCAATATAGTCCGAAGTACTCATGATAAATATTATTCTTGGGTTCTATTCCCGCATGTGGAGTTGTGAATGCATACCGCTAAGGATTTTAATACTAGGAGAAAACCCCCATCTAGTGCTATCAGGTTTTGAATGGTGTTCTAAATTAGCTCGGTTCATGATTTCAGTTAGTCAGTCTTGACTTATAACTACTTGTGACGTATGATTATGTTAGTATGTTTTTTATCATGCTACTATAACTATTTCATATTAAGTATAATCTCTGTGGTATTGTCATGCCTATTAATAATGTTAAAGGAGGAAGTTATAAATTATATGTATATCTGTAGAGTGATATTTTGGTATGGTTAGGAATACATTCCTATAAGTGATCAAGTCATGAATATGATTTCATTATGTAATTTTATGTGCGTTTTGTTTAATTTTCTCAGTATTCATAAATTTACTGAATTTTTACACTTTGCTTGAAGTATGAATTAGCAAAAAATGAATGCGTATGAATATAATAAGTTACGTCAAACTTAGTGTTTAACGAACTTTTTAACATTAAAGTAAATAGACATGTTATGTTGTAATTTGTTAATACAAACAGATTAAACATGTATACTATAATTTCCAATTGCGTTTACAGTTGAAAATTACAAGATAATTGTAATTGTTAATGGATTTTGGCAATTTATTTAATGTAAACTATTATCTTAACTGTTATTCATATAACTGATAGTTTAATCATTTAATTAGATATCGTATACTAAAAGTGTATAATGTAAAAGAAAGAAAATTTCACTTTTACATCACATAATCCAATAATATTAACAATATGTTTTTGTCAAGAATTTTAATTGTGAATCTTGATTTTTATCAGAAGGGGTTTGTGGAGATTTTAGAAACTTCACAGATTGAAATTGTGAGTCAATTGAAGCTAGACCACCATGGAAAACCTGGAAGCACCGGACGGCCGTTTCGTCCTAGTATGGGACTCCTCAGCAGTGCGCATCCACGAGATATCAGCTCACTGAAGACAATGGTGTACGGTGGCGTAACTTCGTGGATTGTTTGAAGTTAGACATTAACGCCGTTGGATGCCGGCTAGCTCAGTGGTCTAGTTGGTTAAGCGCCTGGCGCGAGACCGATAGGTCCTTGGTTCGAATCCCGCGGGGTGCGGGATCGTGTATGCGCACTGCGGAGTCTCATACTAGGACGAAATGGCCGTCCAGTGCTTCCAGGTTTTCCATGGTGGTCTAGCTTTAATTGACTCACAATTTCAATCTGTGAAATCTTGATTCTAACTAGAAAAAAAGTTGAAAAAATTACATAGATCGTTTGATGAAGGACTTTTGTGTTGTTATTCTATCAAGTTTTTAATGTTAACTAAATCCATTCTGTAGATATTTGCGTCTAGTCTGAAGGTATTCTGGAGGAACGCGCAGAATGCTATACATGATGTGAGTTGCGAAAGAGATAAACAAGATGAAAAATGAGCCAACGACTTAGCAAACGCACAAAATATGCTTAATTTAAATAAGGGGTTCTAGTGTAAAATTATTTCAGTTCAATATCCTTTGTAAAATCCGAAAGATTGGTTCAGAGAAGAGTTCTCTTTTCGGTGAATTTATTTTCAAAGCTGTAAAATCGCAAATATATATTTATTTTTCAAGATGATGC